GTGATTGGAGGTGAGGGTGAGTAGGTATAAGTGATGCGCTTCGCTCAATTGCTGGAGTCCTTCAGATGCGGCCGCTCAAATGTGGGTCGCTCAAAAGTCGATCGCTCAAATGACGGTCGCTCAAATGAAGGTGAGGGTGGTGAAGGGGAGCACTTGGTGCTGAACTGTCGTTATTACTCAAATGTTGGGGTCGCTCAAATGCCGGCGCTCAAATGTCGGTCGCTCAAACGTCGGTTAATCCTTTTCTATGCTTGAATGTTTAATTGAGAATTCCAATTCGTCGTCCATTGATTATTCTTCACAATAGTGATCTTGTAAAAAGAAGAGAATCGATGCGGACAGGAACCTAGATAATTAATAGAAATATGGTCACAAGCTTTTGCACCAGATTCTTCAAAATCAAAATCACTATAATTACTACATTTAGTTTTGGATTTTATTTGTGATCATTAACGTTTCAATTTTTCCTACTTCTTTCAAAGGTGATCTACATACAATCGTCGATTTCATCATATGACACATATAACAAGAGAGAACTTAGGAAAAGAATAAAAATTTTCTATGTTAAAAATCAAATCTACTATTTTATACATTTATACACCTGTATTGGCGCCTATTATAAAAATTTTCGTCTTTTCATTTATCACTGCTGAGAACTCAACCGATGCATATTTATCAACAAGGTACTAAATAGCCAAGCAGTGATGCATAGAGACTTTTCATAGGGTGAGACTTAGGACATAAACTCCCACAGCACACCTATTACCACTGTCACGTACAGCGTTACAGCGCCTGAACAATTAATGCATTGTAATGCAATAAATTTATGTCGTTGAAACGTGGGAAGAACTTCCATAGCGCCTTACAACCAGTTAGAACATGCATAGCGCGTTCCAATGCGTTACGGATTTGCGATAGAAATTTAGTAACGCCTTGTAACTATTAACGCGTTAGTCGAATTTATAGCATTGTAACATTAAAAATATGAGAAGGTCGTTGACAAAAATGCATTATAACACTATAATTTTAATTTTTTTTGGTACGTAACGCGTTACGCTAATGCATTAAGATATGTTTCTTCTAAATTTATTGCGTTATAACACAATGGAAAAGCTAACTCATTACAAGGCATTACGATATGCCTAACGCATTATAATGCAATATATACAGCGAAAAGATCCTATGAGTAGTAAATGCAGGAAAAGCACAATTTCTTCTTTATTTATATTAATGAAGTGCATGTTTTCTTAAAATAAAGCTAATTATTTTTAATGAAACTTTGGTATTCTCCATGAATGCTGATCGCTCTATCAGTATGAGACTATAGTCGAATCTTAGATTCACCCGGTGTTTTCAGTCCAATGTCACATTGGACTTATACCTTTTATTACATTTTACTTACGGACCAGTTCATGCTGAAGGACCCCGTCCATTAAGGCCTCAAATCTGCCCCCCTAAATTTTAGATTTATAATAATATATCCTTGTAGAGCTTGACATGACGGACATCTTGCATATTTTAGTTTTTCATCTTGCAAAATATTAGTTTTTCAGGCTCCAGCCATAAGCATTGTGTTGTATGCCGCGCTGCAACTGGAGGTGAATGTGTCGTAATGCCAAAAACCGCACGGTTGGATCTTTGAGTTTTTAAACGAATATATGCACCTCATGGTTTACGATGCTGCTGTCACCATCTGGTAAACAACAGGCTCTCGCCAGATTCACAAATTAACGCGGAAAATAGGCAGCAATTTATGACGCAATTAGAGCCACAAGTTCTCGTGGAATTATTTAATGATGTATCAGTCTTACTTCAAGAAGCGACCATGGCTCTCCGCCTGGATTTTTGCGATGCTGGTCTAACTGACGAAGACTTTCAAGCTTGGACTGGATGGACTAAAGCTCAATTCAAAGAAATGTATGACATAGTGTCACCGTCCTTACGTTCTTCTAGCAATCACTAAGCTAAAAATGCAATTGTGATATTTTGGATTAAATTAAAGACAAACCTCTCATTTCGCCAAATCGGCTTCTTATTTAATATACCGGGAGATGGATAAAAAAGAAGAAAAGTTTCAGCTAAAGCATTCGATTCAGTGCGAGGAGCTTTGGCGAAGAAATTGGTCCCGTATTTTCTAGGAATAGGACATTTGTCGAGAGAGGACGCCATCAAGCATAATAGAGCATATTCCAGCGAGTTTTTTGGTAAGACCGTTCAAATAATCTGGGACGGCACATATTTTTATTTTTTCAAAAGCAGTGATCACGACTACTAGCGCTCGGCATTTTCGGGCCAAAAACATCGTCATTTAGTGAAATTCATGTCGTTGTTTTCCGGATGGGTATTGCCAAGACATAACAGGACCATTCTACACGAATAAAAATGATGCCAGCATCGCCGAATATATAGTTAAAACAAAAGATGAACTTAGTATAGTGGGTGGTGTGAAGACGAGGATATAATGATTTGAGATAGAGGATTCAGATATGTGATGGAGGTGTTCAGAGAAATAGGCTACGAGCCTCAAATGTCAGTGTACTTAGAGAAAAAATTCGGCTAACGCGTTAATAGTTACAAGGCGTTACTAAATTCCTATCGCAAATCCGTAACGCATTGGAACGCGTTATACACATTCTAACTGGTTGTAAGGCGCTATGGAAGTTCTTCCCACGTTTCAACGACATAAATTTATTGCATTACAATGCATTAATTGTTCAGGCGCTGTAACGCTGTACGTGACAGTGGTAATAAGTATGCTGTGAGAGTTTATGTCCTAAGTCTCAAGTCAGTAACGTATATGTCTGATATAGTTGAAGTAATTTTTCAGGACCAACTTTTCGAGAGGAATCGATTGGCAGTCTTAGAATTTTATGCTAATGTGTCCTTTACGCGAAAACCATGTATTTTCGTTTTAGATATTGTCTAACTCGTTGTAACGCATTAATACCTATCGTGTTACACCTTTTCATTTTCTAATCTCATTGCAACGACATAGAAAAGAATAATGCATTGTAATCTATTAGATATTAACTCGTTACAATACGATATGCATTATCTAATGAGTTATAACGCTATAAAAGGTTTTCCAAATTTACGGCATTATAAATAGAGAAAACATCTAAGGTATTATAACGCATTATATTGAGGGAGAAAGCTCAAACGCGTTATAATACATTAGAATCTAACGTATTATAAGACGGTAGAGAAATCTACTTGCGTTGTAACGAGATAAAAGATTGAAACGCATTATAATGCTATAAATTTCTAGAGATAGATTTTTTATTTGTCAACACATTTGAAAACGATACAGATTCTGTGAATCAAAAAAATCCTTGAACATGAAAAAAAATCACAAACCTTCTATAAAACTTTCATTTCTATAACTATGCGTATAATAATCAATTATGCGTGAATTATCATCCTGATTTGACATTAGTCTATACCAACTACGGAGAGACATTAGCCTATTCCAAAATGTTCAGAGATATGTCTTTGTTTTTCTGTGTCTGTAGCGGTAGAAGCAAATATAAAAAAACATATCGGACACTTTGGTACTTTCTCACTAAAAAATAGAAATAAGTTAATTAGTTCTTTTATTTTCAATATGTTCATTATTACTATGAACGTGAAATGCATCGCAATACTTTACAAACGAAATCGAAAAAAATCACTAACGTTTTTGAACTAAGTGATGGTTTGTCGTGGCCTTGGAAATCTATATGTTTAGTAGAAGTTTTGGCAGTGGATCGTCCATGATTATCTGTTGTCCATGTTGAAAAAAGCGCGTATTTATTGGGTTTGTTACCATTATCGTCCAATGTAGACGTCGACCACACATGTAGACCACTGTCTAATTTAAGAACAGATATTTCATTTTGATTAGATGTTTCAATAGATTGTTGAACATATTTTTCAAGTCACGTTGTCAATCAATCAATCAATCAATCAGTTCCTCAAACTAAGTTTTTCCTTTTTATGATGTGACTTAGTCAAAGTTTTACTAAACTTTTTGTCACTCGCACTATCATTTAACATCACTGATTGACAATATGAGCATGTCCTATTACTCTATCGATGTCGATAGCCTTTTAACGTGTTAAATCTACATCGGTCAAAAAATAAGATCAAGATCTCACAGATTATAAGATTTCGTAAGGTTCATAGCCTAAGCCCTTATACGATGCTCAGGCAAGAGTCTTGTAAGATTCTTAATATAAGATAGTAGCGAAAATCTTATGAGATTCTTACACTAAGAATCGTACAAAAACGTGATTTGGACTCTTCCGCGAATTATTCTTTATACAAATTTAGGTATTTCTGATAGTGTGTGAGGGAGGGACGTTGAGAGCAATGTGAGAATGAGATCGCAAAGTAGTTCCTCATACAAAAGATATTTGTATCACATAGTGTGAATTTCCTTCGAGTTTTCACGTATTTATGTATTATGTCGGCACTTCAAGCTGAAGTTATTTTAAACCTCTTTTTAATGACTATGTTCAGTAATATCCATGGTTTTGTTAGTTTTCTAACGTTGAGTTTTCTTAACATCTATTTATAAAAACTCGTGGATGTATCGACGAATCTTTATTTTTTAATTAAAAATTTCACAAAATCGTCGATCGTTCGCAAAATAGTCGTGTCACGCGTAATTTGACAGTTGAGTTCGACCATTACTTAGAGTTGTTGTTCAAAACCTTAGAGCGAAAACGCCAAAAAAAGCCAAAATATGTATTGTATTTTCTGCAATAACAAAGTTTCTAGTCTGGAGCGGATACTATCTTAACGAAATATTATGCTCAGGTTCGAACAGTTGCACCTTTGGTGAAATAAACTTGTTAGTAAAAAATACCTTTCTCATGTAGTGCACAAACGGTTTCAAGGTAGACGGGTTTTCCATAACCCTTTTAGAAAAAACAATCTACAAAAATGTCAGAATTAAAAACTCAGCTTCTCAAGGACAGACTACGTACGTCACCGCAAATTCTGCTGTATCTTGCTTTTTAGCAAAGTTGAGCTGGACGTAACCATGATTTACCTTCATTAATTTTGACTTGTTCAAGGACACCTTCACTTATCCTGATCTTTTGAATCCATGGAGATGTTTGCCTATCCTCTTCGACACGAACGTTCGATGGTCTGATAAGTTCATCTTTTAGTTCCTTCAACTGACTCATCCACCTTATCAGATCTCTTTCATCATAATCTTCATCGTCTCTACCTTTACGAACGCTATTCGTTATTTTGCGAAATCTATGAACAAGTTGTTCCTTGTTCTTATCAAGTAGTTTGACAACATCAGTCCGACACTGATCAGCGAGTTGATTAATTTTATTGACAGAGTCTTTCTTCCACTCATCAATTTGTTTTAACAAACGATGAGGTCCATCTGCCTTTGGCCCTTCGAGCTGTTGTTTGAACATATCGTGTTCGTAAGTAATGTTATCCAGCTCTTTTGACAAATCTTGACGATGACCATTGAAGCATTGTCTACAGAATTTTGCTGAGCAGCCTTCGCATGCGATTATAGCAGCATTTTTTGTGCATTTTGTACATTGAACTTTTGGTCCCGTTGCCATTTACGAATGCAATGAATTAGTAGTTGTTCTACGAGGAACAAAACATGCTTTATTTTGGTCTAGCATCAATGCTAAGAATAAAAATTCTCTACTTAACAACAGTAAGAGCAGGAAAGTCCCATTTTGTGTTTGTAATTTATCTGATGTATAAGAAAAATTCCTGTGTAACTCACTTGTCAAATAGGTTAAAAACGTGCCCTCTGTAGTGTTTCTATTGTACACTGACTGAAAATAGGATACCATTTGATGAACTGAAAAACAAAAATTATTTTACCTTTTGTCGCGATAAGGGTTACATACATATGGCATAATATCTATTTTTGTTTTATTCTTTTTTCGTTGCAATTTTTTCTTCGTTCTGTTTCTTCAAAAGTGTGCAACATTCTCTTCATACTCACAAGAAGAGTTTATTCCGTGCATGGCATTAAGAATTTATGTGATTTTTTCTGCTCTAAAACCTTAGACAAAAAATCATTGTCAACAACAGGTTTGTGTGCATGTGGAAAGACAGAGACAGTTCAGTATTATCTACTGGAGTGGGTGTTATTCCACGGTCAAAGAAAAATTCTTATAAAGGAAATCTCAACAACAGAAAACGCTCCTACCCTTAGCCTTGATCTTCTTTCACTAAATGTATATCTTTCGAAAGAAGATTTTTCATGTATATATCGTGCAGTAATAGACTATATTTGTACAACAAGAAGATTTATAGACGAAGAATAACGTGTCCTTTTGTTCTCTCTCGTTGTCATTTCACTTCTTGCTAAACAGACTTTTTTGTTTCTCTGTGTGTGTGCCTGGATCCTGGACTTTCATGTATTATTCTTTCGCTCTACCATACTATACTGTATACTGTATAGTATGGTTTTTTAGTCGATACTGTCTAGTGTATTT